CCTCTAGTAATTTATTTACTGAGAAAAATGGTGACATGTTCAATACTTATTTTATCCGCTGTATTTGCCAATGCCTCCTCCAGCTTGTGATGTTCCTGTGAGTTAACTAACCAGCAGCTATTTGGTCGCTAGYTAAAACAGGCCATTATAGCAACACCTTCCTAAAATAATTGCATAACTCAATGTTGCCAGCTAAAACTTGGGTGATTATTTTAGAACGGTGACATCAGTTGTCTCCAGTTGTTGCTKGTTTTTCATGGGAGCTACTGTGAGAATCTGGCGTGTCAAGATTGTCACAGTTAGCCATCTTRTGTGAGTTTGATTCATGTTGTTTTTCCCTTGAGAAGTATACCACCTGTTTTATCACAGGGTTCCTGCAGATCCTTAAAAAGTCTTAAAAGGCATTGAATTCATCAATCCAAAAATAAGGCCTTAATTAGCCTTAAAATGTCTTAAATCAATCTTTCAGAAGTCTTAAAAATGTTACAGTGTTAACACATAGGATGATTGTAATTCATCTCAAATATTAAAATAATGGGTAAAAGTATTTTTTTAAATATTCACATGCAGGCATTCCCCTTTGACATCACTTCCTGTTATTTCACATGTAAATATCTCAACTGCTCATCTGAGCAACGTGAAATTTGTTTTGTAATATGTTCACGTTGTCCTTCCAAAAAATGCACTCACTTTTCTTACAAAAAAATGATGTCACGGGCACTTTAAGGTTTCATTTACAGCAAATTGGGGTTAAGACCCCACTGTGGGTCCTAAAACTCTAAATTTTGGGTCGTTGGAGGATTTCTTGAAATTTAAGTTAAAAACTGGCTGCTAAGAAGGTTTCTGCTATAGTCAGATATGGATAAAAACAATTGATCTATTTGCAATATTTGAATACTTAAACAAAAAATACMTTTGTTTATGAGTTTTTGCTATTTTTTTGACATTTGTGTTTATTATGAAATTGGTCTTAAATTTAATTTCACTTTTAAAAGGGTTATAAATTTAACTTGCTTTAAACTGTAGGAACCCTGTATCACCTGTTTCCACTACAAGACATTTKATYTGATTTTTCTCGCAGTCGTATTCAAAGAAAACCCAAAGTGGACACGGCTGCTTTCTCCCGACTTTTGTTGTCATCATTTGGCAGGCGATGCTGAGCATTAGACTGTAAACGTGTGTGGTTACAGACCACAGCTAATGTGAAACTACTCAATTAAAAAAACATTGACAAATGCTAAAGCTAAGGCTATTCCATCTATTATTTCTGTTAGTTTGTTAGTTTTGTGAAAAGATTATACAGTTTGCGTTATTGCTTTTTCATTTCATGACAGATTTTATTTATTTTAGTTAACTAAAATGTTTTTTCAATTTCAGTTTTCATTATTTAGTTAGTTTTAGTTAACTATAATAACCCTGTGTCACATGTRATGCTTTTACACATGAAGAACTTGCAATTTTAACCACGTTTAGGCTGACTTTAAGTCATAGAGAAGTAACATTTCGCACTTACTCCACTTACTTTTTCTCCATCCTGATGTATCTGTCTCTTCTCCCTCTCTCCTCCTCTTCCACTGTGGGAAGCCCGTTAGCAGACGGCAGGGTTGCGGGGACAGGCCTGACTTGCTGGCTGTAACCATTGGCTCTGGAGTGGTCACTTTCCACTCTTCCCATAAAAAAAAAAAGAAAAAACAGTTCACTTCAGACATCAACAGTCATCTCCCCKGTAGTTTTCATCACATTGCAAATAGTTTTGGTCTTAAAATAAAATGCACCTTGCACTGTAGATTTCCAAAAAGGGGCTGCTGTCTTTAAGTTACATCCATTGAGAAGAAGTTGTCGGAGCTGCGCCTCTCTTTGAAATGGATGCAACTGAAAGCAGTCGCCCCTCCGACCCTGAAGGGGAAACTCAGCTTCCGCGTAGCAGAGAATGGCTTTTTTTCCATAAAGAATGGCTCGCAGCACAGTTCCACCTGCTCCTCTCATCCCCCACTCCTCCCACCTTTACACCGTACACTCACTGTGCCTGTCACTTAGCCCAGCATTAGTAGTACAGCCGATACACCATACATCAACTGCAGTAGATCAACTAATGGSCAGAAAGCTTACTCATGCCTGATGCTTGCACCGTGGCCACAGTCATTCATTGGCAGACTTGTTCGAGCTGAGACTCTGTGAGTTTGTGTGAAAGTGTTTCTCGCTTGGTTTACGTATCAAAGCGATGCCTTAATGGGCCTCGCTTGTATTTCGCACCTGTTTTGTTGCTGATGTCAGATGTATGGTAAGTTGACCATGACCTTTGCTTGTGGGTGCTGTTCAGGTTTTCTGGGTTTTAATAATTTCCTAACAACAATGCAGTTTTTGTTTATTAGTTTATTTAATGTATCGATGTTTTGGCAGCTTCCTAAGTCAAAAACAAGTTTCCAAAAAAGTACAATAAAATGTATTGAATTGTATCAGTTTGTTTTGTACCATATTGCATCAGATTTTATTGCATCTTTTTATATTGTAGCATATCATGTTCTATCACAGTGTTGGAGTATTGTGTTGGTACACCATATGTTGTATGTATCTTGTCACATCATATCATATTGTAGAATATTGTATTGTTTACGTTGCATCAAATGCATTGTATAGTTTGCATCATATCAGTTGCATCGTATAGATTGTATCGTTTGCATCGAATCGATTGTAAAAGGGTAAATGGACTGTACTTGCATAGCACCTTTCTATCCAACCAGGATACTCAAAGCGCTTCACACTACAATCTGTGTCCTCATTTACCCATTCACACAGCACTTTATTATTTCTCTTCAAAGCTAACATGTACAGCGGGTAAAATAAGTWTTGAACAYGTCACCATTTTTCTCAGTAAATATATTACTAGAGGTGCTAATGACATGAAATTTTCACCAGATGTCGGTAACAACCCAAGTGATCCATACATACAAAGAAATCAAACCATAAATGTCCAGAAATGAAGTTATTTGTAATAATGTGGAATGGCACAGGGGAAAAGTATTGAACACACTTACTGAAATTTATCTAATACTTTGTACAAAAGCCTTTGTTGTCAATGACAGCTTCAAGACGCCTCCTGTATGGAGAAACTAGTGGCATGCATTGCTCAGGTGTGATTTTGGCCCATTCTTCCACACAAACAGTCTTCAAATCTTGAAGGTTTCGTGGACCTCTTCTATGAACTCTGATCTTTAGTTCTTTCCATAGATTTTCTGTTGGATTCAGGTCAGGTGATTGGCTGGGCCATTCCAGCAGCTTTAGTTTCTTTCTCTGAAACCAACTGAGAGTTTCCTTGGCTTTGTGTTTKGGCTCATTGTCTTGCTGAAATGTCCAGCCACGTTTCATCTTCATCATCCTGGTAGATGGAAGCAGATTTTTATCAAGAATGTCTCTGTACATTTTTCAACTCATCCTTCCTTCAATTATTTGARGTTTGCCAGTACCATATGCTGAAAAACAGCCCCACACCATGATGTTCCCACCTCCAAACTTCACTGTTGGTATGGTGTTTTTGGGCTGATGTGCAGTGCCATTTGACCTCCAAACATGATGTGTATTCTGGCATCCAAACAGTTCAATGTTGGTCTCATCTGACCAGACTATATTCTCCCAGTATTACACAGGCTTGTTTAAATGTTGTGCAGCAAACTTTAAAGGAGCTTCAACATGCTGTTTCTTCAGCAGTGGAGTGTTGCGTGGTGAGCGTGCATACAGACCATGGTGGTTCAGTGCATTACTTATTGTTTTCTTTGAAACAAACGTACCTGCTAATTCCAGGTCTTTCTGAAGCTCTCCACAAGTGGTCCTTGGCTCTTGGACAACTCTTCTGATAATTCTTTTCACTCCTCTGTCAGAAATCTTGTGAGGAGCACCTGGTCGTGGTCGGTTTATGGTGAAATAATGTTCTTTCCACTTCTGAGTTATGGCCCCAACAGTGCTCACTGGAACCTTCAGAAGTTTAGACATTCTTCTGTAACTGATGCCATCATTATGCTTTGCAACAATAAGGATGTGAAGGTCTTGAGAGAGCTCTTTACTTTTACCCATCATCAGATGGTTCTTGTGTGATACCTGGCCATCATTTGGGACTGAACCAGCTGATATTAACTTGCACTGACAAGGGGCAGGCTTGCTTTCAAATTACTGAGAGAGTTCAGCTGGTGTCTTGGCTTTCCATGCCTTTTTACACCTCCCTTTCTTCATGTGTTCAATACTTTTTCCCTGTGCCATTCCACGTTATTACAAATAACTTCATTTCTGGACATTTATGGTTTGATTTCTTTGTATGTATGGATCACTTGGGTTGTTACCGACATATGGAGAAATTTTCATGTCATTAGCACCTCTAGTAATATATTTACTGAGAAAAATGGTGACGTGTTCAATACTTATTTTACCCGCTGTATTATCATTTGTATTGTATCATTACCATCGTATCGTTTGCACCATATTAATTGTATCATACTGTTTGCATCGAATCGATTGTGTTGTATTGATTGCATCATATCGATGGTATCGCATTGATTGTATTGTTTCATTTGTACCGTATTAATTGTATCGTACTGATTGCATCAAATCAGTTGTATAGTATCATTTGCAACATATCATTTGCACCGTATTAATTGCATCGTACCAATTGCTTCGAATCAACTGTATTGCATTGATTGCATCGTATCGATGGTATCGGATCATATGTATTGTATCATTTGCGTTGCATCGTTTGCACCGTATTAATTGTATCGTACCGACTGCATCAAATCAATTGTTTTGATTGCATCGTATGATTGTATTGTATCACTTGCAACGTATCGTTTGCACCGTATTAATTGTATCGTACCAATTGCATCATATCGATTGTATCAGATCATATATATTGTATCATTTTTATCGTATCGTTTGCGCCGTATTATTATATTGTACCAATAGCATTGTATCGATTGTATCGGATCATATGTATTGTATCATTTGCATTGTATCGTTTGCACCTTATTAATTGTATCGTACAGTTTGTATCGAATAGATTATATTGTATTGATTGCATCGTATCGTTTGTATCGTATCAATTGTATCGGATCATTTGTATTGATAATATTACTGTTTGCATAGAATCGATTGTATTGTATGCATCGTATAGTGTTTTATTAAATTGTATCATTTATATTGCATGGTTTACATCATATCGTGTCGTATCACATTTTGTTGTTTTCATTGTATCMTATCTTATCAAGTGTCCTTTTATGTTGTGTCGCATCACATCTTATCGATTCCTTAATTTTGTTTACATTGTATCGTGTCACATTATGTTGTATCATATTTTATTGTATCATAACATTGGTTTACATTGTATCATTTAAAAAATTGTTTGCCTTTTTTTAATCACAGTTTGATGAGAGGCATGAGACCACTCCATATCTATTCAATAAAATCAAGGCTACAAGCAGCAGGTTTTTAATCACGTTTACAGTTGGCACCCAGCATGACTCTTTTCTAATATTTACACAGATTGAGTTTTTTCCTAGATGAGCTCGTAGGTGGAATATTTTCCCTCTACTTTTTATGCAAAATGAAGAAAAACATCATGTGAGTAATGTTAAAGGTGGTTCAGCCAAACAGGTGTTAATGTTTATCTCAGATCTGTGTGGGTGTATGCAAACAGAAGCTGATTGACGTGTCCTTCAACCTTCTGTTTTAGTTGCACCTGTTAAAAAATAAACAGTTCACACCTTTTTTTATTATTATTTACAAATTCAAGCTCATGGACACAAATTTTCACCCCAAATTCCACTTAAAATAATTATTTTTATTTTGTTGGAAAACAAGTGTGTGGGCTTGAGAGTTAAAGGAGTGGTGTCAGTCTTCTTATCAACAAGTATATGCTTCACATTTTCTATAAAAACAGACTAATAAAATAAAGCCTGTAGTCTTATTAGAAAAATCAGAAATATGCTTTAAAAAACAAATTAAAATACAGTTTTTTTACATAGTTTATTTTAAAATAAGTATATTTAAGGGTAGATAACAGTGAAAAGTAAGTTTTACTTGTAGCAGATTTGGGTTTTCTCCTAGTTTTTGCGGTTTTACCACTGAAGTTTGGATCCTGTTGCTTGACCCCCGTCCTCTGATACCCCCCAGCCCCTGGTCAAGCAGGACAGCCTGGACACGTACAACGAGCGCGACCCTTTCAAGAACGACGACGCCCGAGATGACGAGGATGACCCGGAGGACGCCGACAGCGGCATCGAGGGCGAGGTGGACCCCCTGGACCGTGACGTCATCATCCAGCCACCGCCACCGCCGCCGCCACTGAGACCCCCGACAGAGAGGGTCAACTTCCCCAAAGGCTTACCCTGGGCTCCTAAAGTCAGGTTAATATTATTAATGCTCACTGCCTGTTAGCAAAATATATTTTACGAACCACTGGATGGGTTTTTAACAAAAACTTTTAGAAGAGTTTGTGCGTTCATGTAAACAACCAAAAAACTAATCTTTAAAAACAATGTCTTATATGCACCTCTAATCTAACATATAAACTGAGGGCGCTGTCATTTTTACATTTCACATCCACACATGYTCCATGCCTTGTTTCCTGTTTTTTGGTGTGTTTTTGCAGCAGTGTTACAGCTCCACCTACAGGGCTAGCTTAGCTATTACAACAGTTTGAGTTGTGTTTAGGGTTTCTGTGTGGATAGGGATGTTTCTAGAAACAGCGCTGTATTTGCCAGGATATTTATAGAAACAACCAAAATGATTGTTTTAGGAAAAATTCTGTGTGGATAAGACCTCAATACGTCCATTCATCTATTGGTTGGTTGGTTCGATTGGTTTTTAGAGTTGGACAATTCAAGAAGGCTGCCAGGTTTATTAGGTACATTTAGCAAACACAAGATTATATATTTATTTCCCATCTTGATTATGAATTTGTACCAGCATTTACGAGTTAAAAGCAGTTTTAATTTTCTCACTCTAAAGCAGTGTGGTCTCCGATCAATGTATTCTGTGCTGCTGTTTCAGCTACATAAATAATTAATTAAAAACAAAAGGAAGCAAACGTTATTGCCCTGCATTTATCTTTATATTTATCACCAGGACTTATATTTTATATCTCCTTTTGCAAACCTGTTAAATATGCTGACTTTTKCCATATAGTCTGAATTAATTCTGTGTTGTTTTTTAACAGGGAGAAAGACATCGAACACTTCCTGGAGACCAGCAGAAACAAATTCATAGGTTTTACTCTGGGAAAGTGAGTGTTTGAACCAACTCGTTTGAATCTCTTCTTATCATCTCTCATTTAACTGTTTGTTGTTTTTTTAATAGCGATACAGAGACCCTGGTGGGCTTGCCCAGACCCATCCACGAGAGCGTCAAAACCCTCAAACAGGTGAGCAGAAAACAGATCCTACTCGTTCGAACTGCTTTGTTTGCCTTGTTTTAATATGGATTAAGCGTTTGCCAATCAGTGCTCGCATGCTGCTTTTAATGGCATCTTGCTAAATAATCCATACCACCCAGAGTGAGGTTACCCAGAGAAATACCCCTCTGGGTGTCAGCGAGYCATGCTAATTAGTAATTACTGTAAAGCCTGAATATTTTGTTGTTTTTTTCCAGCACAAATATGTGTCCATTGCCGAGGTCCAGATCAAAAAAGAAGAGGAGCTACAGCAGTGTCCGCTGAGCCTGGTGAGCAGGTTTAATATCTAATGTCTGAAGTAGGCGGGGCTTAAAACCCCAAATCTCCAGTGCACAGACTCTGGTTCCAACAAATACAACATGGCAGCTTCCTTCAGCTTTATTCAACTTGTAATTGTCGACGCTGCGGCTGCTTAAGTGGATTTTGTGTCGGCAGGGCGAGGAGGAGGTGGAGGAGACACCAGCAGAGAGTTTATACGTGGGAATGCTTCCTAATCTCTCTCAGTACGTGGTGAGTGCCTAGTTATTACCTTCTTTTTCTGTTCCAAAGGCTCATTTTTATCATTACAGTCACTCTAATGAGTTTGTTTTTTTATTTTATTTTCTGTTAGATTGCTCTCTTGAAGCTCCTGCTGGCTGCAGCTCCCACCTCCAAGGCTAAAACCGACTCCATCAACATTCTGGCCGACGTTCTGCCCGAGGAGATGCCGTAAGTTCTGCTGCGTCTAGATGTTTTCAGACAAGTAATTCATCGAGGAAAAGTTTATCATCTGCTAATTTTCATGTAAAATTAATTTATGGAAAGAAATTATAGATTTGAACCATTTGACACTTTGAACATATTGTTGTGCATTGTTATTAAAATCAGTCCAGTGAGGAAATTCTCAAAGTTACTCCGAAGTTTTAAACACACAGTTTGGCACAATTTATTAGCTCTCAGAATATGTGTTGAGGATGACTTTCAGCTACTACCGTGCTAAATTTTAGCCCTCTGTTTGTGAAAACAGTTGAGTTGTAGCCATTTTCGTGTTTGCTAAGTTTTATGAGCTGTGGCGGCCATCTTGAATCTGGTTCTCGACAGATATTAAAGTTCCTGTGACATGCATATACTTCAAATAGAAAAAGTAAAAGAAAACATCTTTATACTTGAGAAAATTCCCCTAACACATGTGTTTTACCCATTTTGTCACATAACTAGCCTATTTTCTTTTGACTTTGTTTCGGCCAAAGACAGGAAGCGACATCAAAGGGGAATTCATTAATAAAATAAAATCTTTGGTCTTTGTTTATTGAAACAATATCATTTAACTCCAACTCTTCGTCATCTCTCTGATAGTGACTCAAAATGAATTGAAGAAACGTCAAATTCTTCTCTACAGTCTGTGTTGTTAGCCATTGTAGCAATGATCTGTTTACATGCACATTCCCCTGTGACATCACTTCCTGTTACTTCACATGCAAATATCTCAACAACTGTTCATCTCAGCGACGTGAAATTTGTTTTGCGTTATGTTATCAGTGTTAACTTTCCAAAAATGCATTCCTGTTTATCTAAAAAATGTGATGTCACAGGCGCTTTAATGAACTGTAGACGTACACCTATTGATTGTTTCTCTAAAATCTGTCAAGTGGTTCATGAGAAATTTAGCTAACRGAYAGAWAAATKAACCTTCAGAGCAATATAATGGYGYACAACAAAWATGTAAYCATAAACACACAAGGCTTTTGAAGGTTTTGGTCTGTTTGACAACAGATGSTGTGTTTGTGTGTGTTCTCCAGGATCACAGTCCTTCAGAGCATGAAGCTGGGCATCGACGTAAACCGTCACAAAGAAATCATTGTGAAGGCCATTTCTGCGCTGCTGCTGCTGCTTCTCAAACACTTCAAACTCAACCACATCTATCAGGTGACACACACACACACACACACACACACATACACACACACACACAGCTCCATCATCCTGCTCCTGGCACGGACCCTCACTCGTATTGAAAGCAGTCTCTTGTTTAGTGGGTTTGTCCTCTGCAGGAGGACGTTGATGCAGATATTTTCTGTTGCCATAGCTGGAGAGCTGCTGTTTTTGGTGCTGGCGCCCTCTGCTGATGCTAAACAGAATTACATGCACCAACTGGACAACAAATTCAGCTTATTCTTAAACAAGAACAAAATGACAAACAAACAGTCAGGTTAGGATAAATAATTTAATCAATTTTTAGAAAAAGTAAGAGTGAGCATTCTCAATCTGTAAAACCTAAACAACTTTGYATTCATTTGTTTTATTAGAGAATATCTTTATTGATTTTTTTTTATCTAGTCATCAATATTCACTTCACTTTAACAGTGTTTTGTGTTTTCTTGCAGTTTGAAATCGTCTCGCAGCACCTGGTGTTTGCCAACTGCATCCCGCTCATCCTGAAGTTCTTCAACCAGAACATCATGTCCTACATCAGCGCCAAAAACAGGTAGGCTGGATCCATCGAGACCGGCCTTCCCTGGTTCTCCAGCTGAGAACTGCTCAGTTTACTTTGTGAAAGGATTTTAAGATCTAGCAGGAGCTTTACAAGAACCAGAGAAACTCTGTTTCCTGTGGAAATTCAGTCTGAACAGTGAAATATGCTGAAGCTCAAACTGAAATACTAAAGTTAAAATAAGCAGAACACCACTAATACGAGAAAAACAATGTCTGAAAGCTACATTAGCTTTTGCTGCTAAAAGCTAAAAGTAGCCAAACCATAGCTAAAGACTAAAATAGCATAACAGTGGCTAAAAGTTGCAGAATTGTTTACTAAAAGTAGCAAAACCATAGCTAAAATGAGTAGAATAGTAGCTAAAAGTATCATAACAATCACTAAAAGTAGCAAAAATGTCAGTGAATGTAGAAGAACAGTAACAAAAAGTAGATGCAGYACAGTAGCTAAAAGCTAATTACGGCAAAACAATCACTAATAGCTACAAGTTGCAGAACGTTAGCTGATACATAAAACTTAGCAAAATGCTAGCTAGAAGGTAAATGTCTTAAAATGGTAGCTACAAACAAACTGCAGCTAATAGTTGCAGATTTGTGGCTGAATGCTAAATTTAGTACTGCAGTGGCTACAAGCTGAAAACAGGAACAGTAGTTRAAAGGGAGAAACTATAAAGAGGAAAACAGTCGTGTGAATGTGGACTCACGTTGTTTTGTTTTTTGTTGTTGTTTATTCTGCAGTATTTGTGTGCTGGACTTTCCTCACTGTGTGGTCCACGAGATGCCCGAGCTCACAGCTGAAAGTCTGGTGAGTCTCTGCTGATCTTATTGGTCATCCCGAACCCTTGAGTCATTCTGTCCCCTAATGTCCCCCCCGGTGTCCCCTAATGTCCCCCCGGTGTCCCCTAACGTCCCCCCGGTGTCTCTGTGTTTACAGGAAGCAGGAGACAGCAGTCAGTTCTGCTGGAGGAACTTGTTTTCTTGTATCAATCTTTTGAGGATCCTGAACAAGCTGACCAAATGGAAACACTCCAGGACCATGGTGCGTCCTTAAAAACACCACTCACAGCCAACCTCTGATTTATTTTTATTTTTAAACCATTTTTGACTTCCTGTCTTCAGATGTTGGTGGTGTTTAAGTCGGCTCCCATCCTGAAGCGAGCCCTGAAGGTGAAGCAGGCCATGATGCAGCTCTACGTCCTCAAGCTGCTGAAGATCCAGACCAAGTACCTGGGCCGCCAGTGGAGGAAGAGCAACATGAAGACCATGTCGGCCATCTACCAGAAGGTCCGCCACCGGCTCAACGATGACTGGGCCTACGGCAACGGTAAACCTCAGAAGATGATAACGAAGGCAGATTTATACGATTTCTGGGTTACCATGTTATATATACAGCTGTGCTTTATAGCTCACCTGTTGATGTTTGTCTGTTAGCAAAATATCACACAAACCACTTGAAAAATTTAAACGACCCTCTCAGGARGTCATCGTTGGATGTTTATCTACCACTGATTAACTTGTAGAGCCAACWTGATTCAAGATGGCCGCCTTATCTAAGCAACTTTAACAAACGCAAAAATGCCTCTAACTCAATCGCCTTTACAGATATTGAGCTAAAATTTGGTGTGGTGGTAGCTGAGAGTCATCCTCAACACATATTCTGAGGGTCAATGGATCACATGAAATTCTTATGTAAAACTTCAACATTAACTGCTAATGTCAGCCATGTTTGTCTGTTAGCAAAATATCACACGAACCACTTGAAAGATTTAAACGACCCTCTCAGGAAGTCATCGTTGGAAGTTTATCTACAACTGATTAACTTTTGGAGTCAACATGATTCAAGATGGCCGCCTCAGTTAAGAAATTTTAGCAAGCATAAAAATGGCTATGACTCAATCAGTTTAACATATATTGAGCTAAAGTTTGGTTTGGTAGTAGCTGAGAGTCATCCCTCAACACCACCTTACCACCAGATGACTCCAAGTCCTGCGCTTGTTTAATTAAAGCTAAACTCACTGAAGCCAAGTCTGTTAAAGCAGTTTTGTGTGTTCATTTAATTAGCGCAGTCTGATGAAATGGTAGAATTACAGGTTATTCAAATGAGGAAAATTGTTTTCTTTATTGTCCTCCACTCACTTCAAACTTTTATTTATTTATTTTTTGAGCTGCGCAGATGAAGCACTCCTGAAGCTAATTAGCCTCATTAGCTGTCCTGTGTTTAACACAGCTCTGTGTGTGTGTGTGTGTGTGTGTGTGTGTGTGTGTGTGTGTGTGTGTGTGCGCGGGGGGTGGGTGGAGACGGATTAAAACGACACGCAGGGACAAGGTGTCAAATTTTGTAATAACCTGATCATTCCCGCCTCAGACATCGACGCCCGGCCCTGGGACTTCCAGGCGGAGGAGTGCGCCCTGCGGGAGAGCATCGAGAAGTTCAACGGCCGCCGCTACGACCGGAACAGGAACGGCGACTTCGCGCCGGTGGACAACTGCCTGCAGAGCGTGCTGGGTCAGCGCGTGGAGCTGCCCGAGGACTTCCGCTACAGCTACGAGATGTGGCTGGAGAGGGAGGTGTTCTCGCAGCCGATCCAGTGGGAGGGGCTTCTGCAGAACCCGTAGGAGGAAAAGAGGGTAGATTATACTGGATTGAAGCAATGGGGGCGGGGTTAAGATGAAGGAATTGGCTCGATTTGATGCAGCGCACACTTTTTAAACTAACACGTGCCTATGACTACTGTGAAACACACAAAACAGATAAAACAAGTAGCAGTTGATGAAAAACACCAGGTTGTAGCAGGACACCGTTTTACTGCCCCACCTTAAAAAAAAACATCAGTTTACACTTTTTGACCCCCCCTTCTTAAATAAATCGGTGCTTTTCTGATTCCTTTTATTACCAATTCCTAACGGTGTATTTYGTAAAACCTTTTCTGACAATTTTTTAAGGATGTAAATTTTAAAAAGCTTTTAATCTTATGGTTTTATCTTGTTTCGCTGTTGGAAGCGATTGCTTTAAAAAGTTTTCATACGCTTTTTTTTTTCTTCCTTTTTTTCTTTTAGAAAAGCGATCCGATAAATTCAAACATCTGGAAGCTGTTTGCTTTCTTGAAAAAAAAAAAAAATCCACAAAAACACACCAGCTGTTTGTTCGTGAATGTTTAAAATAAAAGGTAGTGTGTACAGAAATTAAAACTGAAAACCTAATGGGATTGGAATTTGAGGGGTGAAAGCAAGAAACTATTGTTTCTGTAAAAAAAAAAACAAAAAAAAAGAATTATACTTTTTTTTAATTCCAGTTTTGTCTCTGAAGTCATTTGTCCTCCACTGTTTGCTCAAATACATATCAA